ATTGCAGAAATAGATCAAGGGACTTTGTTACTGAATGAATCAAATACATTTCCTTGACATTCAAAAACTGCATTCAGTACAGTTAATGATTTCTAGACTGCAGACCATTTCAGATATTTTTAGGAAAAATATTTGAAAGATATAAAGTTAAGAAATAAATGCTTATTTTAAGCAACATTGTAAAATTTAAGTATGTGATCTTGTTTTCTGCATAGAAGCAGATTTTTTTTTTTTTTTTTTTTTTTTGGTTTGTTTGTTTTTGTTTTTGAGACAGATGCTCGCTCTCTTGCCCAGACTGGAGTGCAGTGGTGTAATGTTGGCTCACTGAAACCTCCACTTCCTGGGTTCAAGTGATTACCATGCCTTAGCCTCCAGAGTAGCTGGGACTACAGGTGCACAACACCATGCTCAGCTAATTTTTGTATTTTTAGTAGAGATGGGGTTTCTCCATGTTGGGCAGGCTGGTCTCAAATTCGACCTCAGGTGATCTACCTGCCTCGCCCTCTGAAAGTGCTGGAATTACAGGTGTGAGCCACAGTGCCCAGCCAGAAACAAATTAATACACTCAAATTCATATGAAAATTAACTTTAGCACAGTGTTTATGACCAAGTGACCTAATTCTAAGTGAGATAATGTTGTTTGTTGATGAACACTAAACATTCTTTGATAAAGAATGTATGCTATCATATAAGATCATCTGATATGATTTATTTAAAATACCCAAAGTAATCATATTTCTAATTGAACTTATTTCAAATCAAAAGGTGAATATAAAAAGTGCTAGCAATTTTAATTTGCTATATAATCACTGATTTATTGAATGTAAAAATAGTTTAACTCAAAACAATGATCTAGTTTTCATACCCCTCCCTATTTAGATAAATACACAACCATATCACAAACACACACACTATTTGTTAACAATCCTGCTGTCATTGGGATGGTTGTGATGTCTGCAATCAGAGATATAAGCAAAAACTTGCATGGCTCCCCAGTCCCCCTGCTGCCTGACTAGTATGTTAGTGTTGGCTTCTGGCCAGTGATATCACTGTTTAGCTCTTATTTACAGGTTAGGACATCTATTATTTATAAGGTTACCCACAAAATACATTTAGCTCTACAAAAATAGGTAATATAATTTCCTATAACTAATAACAATTGCTGGGAGAGACTACTTCAAGCATTAAAAAAAAAAAATGGATATTTAAACTGCTGATCCTTGGCCAGCTGTGGGGGCTCAAGCCTATAATCTCAGCAGTTTGGAAGGCCGAGGCGGGTAGATCACCTGCGGTCAGGAGTTCAACAACATGGAGAAATCCCGACTCTACTAAAAATACAAAATTAGCTGGTCATGGTGGTGCTTGCCTGTAATCCCAGCTACTTGGGAGGCTGAGGCAAGAGAATCACTTGAACATGGGAGGTGGGGGTTGTAGTGAGTCAAGATCGCGCCATTGCACTCCAGCCTAGGCAACAAGAGTGAAACTCTGTCTCAAAAAAAACAAAATAAAATAAACTGCTGATCCTTTTCTCTTTCATCGTGTTTTCTTGGTCAAGATTTCCCTAATTACAACTTTAGGTGTATTTTTATGAGCAGTCACCAGGGTGACTTAGACACAAATGTGTCTATAGGCCAGGCGCAGGACAATATGATTTTTCCTTTGTCTGACCAACACTGAAGCTAAATGTGCAAATATTACTGATAAGTACTGACAAAGCATTTCTTTCTTTTCTTCTCTTACATTTCCAACTGTAGTAGGACATTAAAACACTTTCATTTATCTCAGTTAATTAAAATTCTAACCTCAACTCTCATTTCTTCTATTTAATTTAGTTCAGAGTAGAGCTTTTTTTTCTGTTTGCTATGGAGAGCCTGAGTGAAGATCTAAATTTGCTCTCATTCACATGACATTGACAACACAACTTTGCTATAAACATTATATCAGAGTATCTTAACACACAAGTGGAAAATAACAAACGTAACTTTAAGACACCTGAAATGACAGTAGCATTTAATGGAACGTTTCACCTTAATTTTACTTTTTATAATCTCCTGTGAAGCAAACATATGTAGTATTTCTCCTCATGTCATAACACCAAATCTCTAGCACATGACTTAGAAACTTCTGGGCTGTCCTAGTCACTGGTGATTCTCTTAAATTTGGAGTACATCGCCTCAAGACTGCGTGCTGGTTTACATACTGGATGGTAGAGCCAACTGGTCTTTCCTCAGTCCTAGGCATATGCATTACTCACTTTTCTTTGTCTAATGAGGTCATTTAAGTGCTGATTGGCCCTCAAAACAAGATGTCCAGGTAAAATGAGAATAAGTGCTTTCCTTGGTTAGTTATCCATAATTTAAATGGGAGTTAGTGGAAAAAGTTGACTATATAAGTTTAAAGAAAATGTAGGAGTCACTAACGATTTACTTTTTTCCTGAATTCTTTTTAAATGACCAAAGGATATCAAGAAATTTATAGAAAACATTTACCCTAGAATGCCTTTTATAAAAATGACTAGGGGATCAGAACTGGAAAAGGTCAGAAGGGCAATAATACTTCCCAAGCCCTTGCTCATATGGCCGAGCCATGTCTTCCACCCAGACTCTTTGAATTGACCTACTTTCCTCATCTTCCTCATCAGTCCGACTCAGGGTGTCCTGCGAAGCCTGCTGGGATGGCTCACTGTCCTGCTCCCAAACGGTGCCCGTGCCCGTGTTAGAGCGGGACATGGTGGCCAAGCTCAGGCGGTAAGCAGAGGTGGAGGTGCCCACGGTACTGATGGATGTCTTGCCTTGGTAGGCTAGAGGATTCGAGAGATCAAAGGAAATGTATGGTGAGAATCTTAAATGTCCACTTCAAAGTCCTCCCTGACCACTTGTGTTTTTTAGAAAAGGTTAAATAATGTGTCCCAGACAAATGATTTTTATATCAAAGTTGCAAATGAAAGTGGGGGTGTTTTAAAAATAATCAATATTGGCCACTGATATAATTGAATAGTTCCCTTGACAGAATGTAACATCTATAACAATAATAAATGCTTTGACATTGTTGCCTCTCTTATTGCTTTTCTATTTTATTTTCCAAGGTTGGTAGGATGCATATTAACTTTGACCTGAATTGTAGCTTCAAACTTGGCAATTTTTACTAAGAAATATATCGTATTTGACACAAGCCTATGAAAGTAATAAATAAGTTGTCTGATGTGAACCCCACAATCAAAATCAGAACGCATAATCAAAGCTGTTCTCATTCTAACTTTCTGGGAATTACAACCTATAAAATACCCCTCAGTTCTATGTCAGTTTATTTTATTACAAAGCAGAATATTTGAATGGTAAAGTGTAGACTTCACTAGGATTATACTTGTCAATATTTTGCTTTTACCACACTGCATGCAAAGAACAATAAAAGCTTTAGAAGGAAAGCAAACAACCCTCTCCTCCCACAAAAAAGAAAACACAACACATATTACACTTTACTCGTGGGTAATGACTGCCCTCTAATGGCAAATAATGATTTATTTTCCTTCCTCAGTAATCTGCTGTTAGTATAGTTATAAAAAATAAAACAATGTACTCTCAAAGAATACCTTTAGAATAATGTAAAGAAAGTACCTCTCAGTTTGCCAGCTCTAATGGGATCCTTCCCCTTCCAATGTGTGAAAAGTTAAAGGCTTTATAAATCAATCATAGAGATCTGGTTGAAAATCCCCTTGCAATAATCACTTTCTATGCAATAATAATAAGTTATGTACTTGAAAGTTATTTATCTATTTTCTATTGTGTCTGTTTCCTCATTCTTTATGGGGACTTTAAATTATCCACCTTGAAGGTATTTGTGTAGATTAAAGGAAATAATCTACCATAAAATAGAAACTCAATAAATGAATGTCCCCCTTCTCTTTTTCAAAAAGAAAATAAAGGTAATGATTTAAACCACTTTTCCTCTGATTAAATATTCAAGAAAGAGATAAACTACTGAAATGAAGACTAAAAATATATAGAAAAGGAAGAAAATTAAACACTTATGATATCCTTTTGATTTCTATTTTGTTACTGACAAAAGAGAAAGTCAAATATAGTAGTGGTCAAATGGCTGACTTACTAGGAATGGTCAAATCTAGTAGTGTACCAAAACGGTTAACATATTCATAGTTCCAAAAAGTGTGGTGACCTGGGCAGAGGAATTCTTTGTAGGCTGTGAGTTCCATTAGTCAAACAAATTTACAACACACTCATGCACACTCACCCGATCCACTGTGAACTGCCTCTTTTAGAATTTTTAGTTCATTGTTGAACTCAGCAATGAGCGAGCTCTTACACAAAGGTCGTGGTATGAAGCGCCGCTCCAGCTGGTCGGCAATATGCTGCCGGGCGGAAAGCTCTTCATGATTCTCTGCTGGCTGGGCCAGCAGCTGAAAGGAAGGCATAACATTCTCAGGGCCTCAATTTTCCATCCGTAAAATGGGCTAACTGCTGTACCTATTTCATAGTTGTGAGGACTAAATAACGTAATGTATATGATGTTCCTAGAACAGCAGTATACACAGGAAGTGCTTAATAATTACATTGTTTTAAATCACCGCCCTAAGAAACTGGGGCATGAAAAGAACAAGTGTAGATGGGTACTGAGGGTCTTAGAGGAAATCATATGTTAAGTATCCTATGTTTTTAATATGTTTATTTAAAATCAGATCTCAGTCATGCCACTGAAGACAGAAGATTCTCCAAACCATCCCGCTGGACCAGTCTTTTGAGTGGGTAGAATGGGGGGATGATTAGTAGGGAGCAGGCAAAGTTTTATAGACTCCAGTAAAGCTTTTACTGTGAAGGCACTTCTAGTGTGAAATTTTATCCTCTGAAATATATTTTTCAGTGGTTTTCTCACCAAGCATGGTATTTACAGGCCCTACTAACTGGCTAGAGTAGGTACCATAGCACTCTTGCCACATTCCTGCCTCAGTGGAGAGCCACACATTCATTCGGGCTTGTCACTTTCAGGAGGAGAAGCACACACCACACCTTGCACTGGATGAAAGGGCGCAAAAGCACAAAGATGGGTATTCGGGTCCGCACGATGAAGTCGAGGAAGTCCCAAAGGGCCAGGCCTCCCACCTTCCGCAGAGCCATCTCCTTGACCTGGAGGCTCAGCCAGTACCACTGGCTTCCGAGCTGCCTCTCAAAGCAGACGAGAATCACCTTCAGTGCTTCACACCGGGAAAAGAGAAAAGTGAGCCTGCAGATCTGTGGTTCAGAGGAACCCAACCTACATTCACAGCCCTTTTTGCACCTTTATAAATTTTCTAAACCTCTAAACTCTGTCCATGTTTCTAAAAACTTCATATGTATTCCTGAGAAAGAGCATGCTGGACATCGAGACAAAAATGGGGGTGGTGTTTTGATTCTGATGAAGAGAACCCACATATTTTTCTTAAGTGCATTGAACTACTATTTTGGAAAATATAGAACAATGTGGTCCACTGAATTGAAAGGAAAATGTTTTATCAACATGATGTGTGGCTAACGTTTTACCTTCCAAAAATTTAATCATAATGACTTTATGGTAATAATGGGCATACCACTCACATTCTGAGCTAAAACATAGATCTTAAAAACCTTTTTCTTTTTTTTTTCTTTTAACCATAAAATAAATATTTGTGTTATTAAAAATAAAAATCAAATCATGAAGAAGTACACAAAGTTAAAAAAAAATTAAGTATTTTCCTTCCCAGTTCCCTTCCTGTCCCCACCCTAAACTGCTTCCCAGAGGTAACCAGTAAATGCATTCAGTGTACATTTCCAAATATAAAAACACCTTCTTCCTTCTTGCACAGTATGTCTATTACTAAGCCCTACTAGATTCATTTTATCATATCTCTTTCCTCTCAGATTCTGGCAGCCCTTCACAATCTGCATTTATTTTTATTTTTCAGGAAGCAGATTTCCCAAACTGTGTGTCAGGACAAACCAGAGTATTGTGAAGACATCAAAGATTATGATGATAGCTTCCTCTGCCACTACAGCTTTTACCATGGAGTCAGCATGGGGCAGTCAAGTGAACCTGGGCCTTCTTGATGATTCTTAAGGCCCATCAATCTCAGCATCTAAAAAAATGTGTATACTAAACACATGTGGATTCTGATTAGGAAAACACAAAAATCTTTCTTAAGTGCATTGAGTGACTAAATGCACACAGAAATCTAATTTTCTAAAATTCTCAAGAGTTACATATGCCTTTACCATATTTAGGACATCTCCAGGAGAGACTCATGCCATGTAACACACAGAGAGAGAGACTGCAAGATTCTTTCTCACACATCTTCCTCCTCAAGATCTCACTTTTCACAGCAATTGCTCATCTCAATTCCTTTCCCTCAACTAAACAAACAAACAAAAAACAACATTCCTCTTTCTGTACACTAATTCTGATGACATTTCACTGTTACCAAATGCCTGTTGGCCGCCTTTGGCTTTCTGCCATTCTACTTTCCACCTAAACCTCCATCAGCCCAACACACAGCATAAAAGGGGCTCAAGAGCAGAGACTTGTTCTGGCTCTGTCATGTATTGACTACATGCCTTCAGGCAAGTTACTCAACCTTTCTGGGCCCCAGCCCCTTCACTCCTAAAATGAGAATAACACTAACTTCTTGGAGTTATTGTAAGGGTGAGAGGATTCAACATGGTGATAATGTAAAGCACAGAAAACTGCTTGGTGCACACTAAGTGCTCAAAATAAATGTAAAAACAAATTTAAAATACAGTTTCAGTAGCCTGGCTATATAAGCAAAGTAGAAACAACTCTTCACTAAAACGGCAGATAGAGAGGACAGAAACTCATCAAGTGTCTTCTCACATCCTTCCTGTATATGGTAAGCCCCTTTTCTCCATCATCCTCTGCAATCCTTCATGTAGGGGTCTATGCCAGAGCCTAGATTTGAATGCTACTTTTATATACTTTGGCCAACTGAGCATCCATATGGGTTGGTCCTGGGTACATGCATTCCTTGTGTTTTTTTCTCCTTTTTCATTTTCATTGTCAATCCCCTCATTTTCAAACACATCCCATTATAATGCACTTCAAACACCCCCCATATCCAAACTCCAAGGACTCATTTTCATCAATGTGTTTGTGTTTATCTTATACTTCCCACCAATATCTGCTTTGGTAAATTGAAAATGTCAGGCAAGACTGTCTCCTTTTGAAATTCCCCACTGCCAGTGCTCCTTATTCTCAGTGCCATGGCAAGAGTGGTCTTTTCCTGCTGGTGCAATTCATTCAGGGCCAAAGAGTGGCTTTCCATTGCTTCATGGGTTAGGACCAGGTTAAAGGCAGCACAGGATAATGGGAAAGTAGGAGTCAAAGAGGGAAAGAGATTGGGAAGCCTGTGGGAACAGAAGTGGACTGGCCTCACTAGAGTAATGATCAATATGGAAATTGAAGACATTTTAAGGGAGGAAAAATAGCTAGTAGAGGGCATAACATATTGCAAGATCACCAAATCTTGCTGCACAGGATGTAGACTGCCCAACTCCAGAACTCCATTTACATAGATGACAGACCAGTGGGCCCCACATGTTGTGCAATGCTGTGTCTGCATACTAGACTGAGTTTAGATCTTATAACAGCTACTGAACCTCACTAGTGATCTTGTCCTTAATCAGGAAGGAAGAATCTTTAATGCAGATACCTTTCTTACATGCCCACACACTCTTACAAAAACAGCCAAGTGATTTAGGCATGGCGGATGTAAAACCACTTTGTTTTTTGGTATATGTTTACTGAAGGAAACGAGACTCTTTTGTAAGGGTAATGTTTCTTGTTCAAGAGGTTTCTTTAAATACATTCTGGATTGAGGTCTCTTTAAATACTTTCTGGTTTGAGGTCTCTACATACTGTTTGAGTTAAGTACATCGATCTATCTATCTACATATATATTTTCACATACACACACATACACATGCACACTCAGAGAGAGGAAAAGTACTAACCCAAGTATGCTGCTTGGCTGGTGGACTCAGCCAGCCCTTCCCTGCGCAAGTCTTTCCCCGCATCCCCAGGGGTGGAGCAGTGGGCGGGGGAGCTCTCCAACATGAAGTTCTTACTCCTGGATGTGCTGATGATCCGCGGTGGCAGGAGCACATTGATGACCGTCTGCAGCAGCAGCTGCACCTCAGGCTGCTCCAACCATGGGCTATCTGAGGGGCACAATTTGGAAGATGGAAGTGGAAAGAAAAACATCACCAGGTAGACTGTCCATATTAGATACAGAAAAAGCTCTTTCTAAGTCCTAACTATGACACCCTAGAAATTCAGGTGTTTCCCACCAAGTACAGCTTCACCAATGGACAGAAAGAGTGTTCCTGGCACCTGGGTATTTTCTTCATAGTGGGTACCCAAAAACTTGTGGTCTTAGCCAAATGTCCTGCTTACCATTTCAATCTCCTTTTTTTTCCCAAATATTCATGAGGCACTGTTCTTACATTTGACATAAACTTTTCCTAAAAGAATCCCTCTACCCCTAAGAAGAAAAAGTAATGAAAATACATTGGAATTTAATGACTGTGGCAGGATTTCTGCTAAACCCAGTGGCAGTGGTTGTAAAAGTTTGTTCACCTGTCAATTCTTATATTGTACTTCAACTAATACCATTTTCTCAACTGAATTGAAACACTGTTCCCCTGATTTTTGTTGTACGGAAATAACTTTAAATAGGATGTATCTTCTAAGAAGTAGAGCAGAGAAACTCTGGTCCCAGGGTAGCTAAACTGAAAAGAAAGAAAAAATTCTTATTTCCCAAGGTGATTAATCTGAATGATTTAAATCATTCAGATTGACTTCAGTGATAGTCTTCATGGGAACAGGGAAAAGAAATAACAGCCTGACATTTAAGAAAACACAACAACAATGATAAATTTCCTTTAGTTAAATTAATCAGACCTTTGCTTCCAGATCCTACTGTGAGCACAAATGGGATGAGCAGATTTAAAAGCATCCCCTCCCTTCGCTCTTGATTGGTGAATGGGGAGATCACATGGCTTAAAGGAAAATCTTCTTTTAAAGCCTGTGCAGCAATAATAGAAAAAAAGATTAATTGACCATCACACCCATTTAGTATATTTGTTTTTACACAGCATGATGGAGACGGTGATTCCCTGCCGGCTGCTCCTGTAAACTATGAGTTCAGTTGTAGTCTGTACATCATACAAGCTTCACCCAAATCTGATACTTTACCATTGTCTTGATATCATTGAGAGCTATATACCTAAAAAGATAGTAACACCTTGAATATTAAATGAAAAATTAGAATACTTATAGTCAGGCACAAAAACAACCTCATTTCCCCATTAATTCTCTCTATGAGTCCACGAATAAATATTTTAACAACAAAGGAGAAGGAAGAAAATTAGAACTTCTCACTTGCTCCATTTGGGAATTACTTAAAAGTCCTCTGGCTCCCCCCAGAAGAGGCGTTCTTCAAGCCAGGAGACAATTGCAATATAGAGAGAAATATGTGATCTTTGTACACAGGTCATTAAAATGTATCACTTTAGGGATGTAACTGTTTCCCTTCTGCGAGGTAGCCACAGCTCTTACTTCCTCTCTTTTCTATCATCTCCCCATTCTCTCCGTGATGAGCCATCAAGCTTATTGTCAAATAATGGATGGGTCAGTTATCCATTTACATTAATTGTATACTTTCCATTGATTACAGAGCTTTTCAGTGATTCACCACTCTCTAAAACTGGGCGACACACAGAAATACTCAAGAGAATTGGGATTCTGCAGTGTTTTGTTGTTGTTGTTGTTGTTGTTGTTTTTGTTTTTTTTTCCTTGGGAATGATTATTTTAATTTTAAGAAATAAATTAAGTGGGAGAATTTTCTTTAAAAAAGCACTCATAAGATTCAACCCACAATCATTAAAGAAAATTAAGATATTCAGAGTCTAGTGATAACATTTGAAAGAATTTTATATTGCAATTCTTTCTGAAAATAATTTAAAACCAGACTGTGAATATTACTGCCTCTTTTAATTAACAATTGTGAGCTGATTATATGTGAACCATTATTTGCACACATTTTAAATGACTGAAGTGGTTCCTGAAGTTGTGGCAGGACTGAATGACTCTGCTATATTTGAGATCTCAGGAAGAGTTACAGAAGCACAACTTAGGGCCAAGCTCAGGGCTGAAGCTCCAAACCTATAAAAGTTTGGAGATATTTACACTTCCGTTTCACAGATTTTGCCCAGCCTTTGCAGAAAAAATGAGAACACCATGATCTGGTGCCTCAACCAACAACTTAATGAGCGTGACAAACAGGTAAGGTAGTCACACCTGTATCTGCAATGCTACAAGCCGGACAACAGCTGTGCTGAAGGGCAGAGGTGGTGAGAGATAAGGGCTGAGATGAAGAAGGGGTAATCCATCAGCAACACTGGAAGGTCCTACCACTCCCATCACCTGAAATACAAACAGAGCAC